TTCATGGAGGGGACTTGCATACCTTGTTTTGTGTGGCACTATCACAGCACAGGTCTACTTTGATGTTTTAAACACCCACTTGCATCCCACTATCGAGCAATTCAGGGACAATCACAATCAAGCGTTTCATACTGCACAGCCTGCGGAATGGTTACACGACAATAACATCCCTGTAATGGACTGATCTGCATAGAGTGCTAACTTGAATCCTAACAAACACCTGTGGGAAGTTTTGAAACACCTACTTTGTGCCAGGCCTCACCGACCTACATCGATACCTCTCCTCAGTGCAGCACTCCGTGAAGAATGGGCTGCCATTCCCCAAGAAACCTTCCAGCACCTGATTGAAAGTATCTTTGGTTTGCTAACTTGAAATTGAATGAAACCTTGTCAGAAATTTGAATCATAAAACGGATGTTATTTTAGTATTTGTTTCATTTTGCATGAAGTTGCCTTTTTGAACAATATTGCACGTTTTAGGTAATGTTGCCTGAAAATTGCACATTATGGGGTTTTACTGGACGAATTTGCAAGATTCATAGTTTTATTGCATAAAATATAATTTTTATGTGTCAACTTGTTTTAATTTATCCTTTTTAAGGGTTTCATTTTAAAAAAAGGTTTTATGACAACCCAGCAAGGCATTCGGATGACCTGTGAAATCAGAGTGCCGTTTAAATATATCGTACAACAATTTTACATTTTGTTGCCATATTGTGGCGTCATATCAGTCGCCTTGTACAAGCGTGACAAAATATCATCCACGTGCATTTCATGCTCATGAACAGCGCTGGCGGGAAGAGACGACGGGCTGAACAATGGCAAACCTAGGGAGCGGAAGGGAAGGGATGCCGTGTCGTGGGTGGCCACTTGTGAACCCCGTAGACCACTTGCGGCCCTTGGGAACCCCGTGGAAAGGCTAGCTGCGGAAACGCGTCGGCGGAAACAGCGAGATGACGCATTCCGTTAGCCGGCCCAGAAGGTAATCTAAACGGACCCCGCACCTGAACTCCTTCTTCTGATTCTGAGGCGCGTCGGTAGGAAGTCGTGTGGGTTGGGCGCGGCGCTGCATTTGAATGCATAGGCTACTGAGGCAGGGAACTGAAGCCGGCGGGCTACGTCGAGACGAGAGGTGCGGCGTATGCTCACGTAGGCTACTGGTGCATCACTCCGAATAAGATATCAAATTATCAGGCCAGCGGTGGTGGTGACCAGGAACATTTCTTCTAGTAACGGGTCAATATTGTTTATTGTAATTATTGTACATAGTATTCTGGGGTTGGGTCATTTTTTTTCAAATAAATATTCAATAAATTACAAACCGTTCACGTGTGTGATTTATAGCCCCGGCAAAGACGCCACAATATGAACTAGCAATTAGGTTGCCATATGAGGACCGTCTATGTATTTCATTGTGCCTATTGTCTAATTAAAAAATCAGAGTTATTGCTGCAGGGATTTGCGGTCTTATCTCGAATACTCTCGATCGCTGTTATGTCGATTATATATTCATTTTGTGAGTCTTCGCTGATCATACCAACATACGAAACAGCTTGCACGAGTCGCTTTTCACCTTATGTCTGGGCACAAAGCTTAGTGGCAAGCGCACTGATATTCAAATTTCTCGGTACAGACGTACCCTGCGAGGTACGAGAAATAATGAACGCTGTTTTTGATCGCTTTTAGCTACTTGCACACGTACTGTACGTCAGAATAAAGTACGGCATGCAAGTGTAAATGCAGAAAGACGTTTTTCGTGCCTGAGACTTATTAGTTGATAGAAGATATAATACTAAATAATTTCAAGAAACTAATTTGGAAATATACATCATGTAAATTATAATGAAAACAGGAAAGAACATTTCATCTGTAACCTAATTATTTTAATTTCTGAAGGTATTTTTGTATTTTTCAGTTTCTTTATTACTTTCCTGTATACGTACGTATATACTTAGTATAAGTAAAGTTATGTAATACTGCGGAAAATCAATTTCGAGATTTAAACGGCAATACACGTTTTGGGGGCACCTGATACCGAAAAAGTGTTGTTTTGGTTTTGTTTAAAAAAAAAATCCGTTCGTGGCTGATGTATGTGTACAACACTGGCGCCTAAACCATTTATGGGATATTTTTTCAAAATAAAGAAATTTTCTGTCAATTTGGCGTGAGTCGAAACCTTGCGATTTAAAAATCACATTAGTTTTTGGGGGAACTTTATATGAAACCTTGGGGCATTTTCAAAACGTTCTCAAAAATGACTCCAAATTTTTCTTTTAAATTTCTTGTACGAATATAGTAAAATGCACTTATATATGTGGCATAGGTCCAATATTTACGGTTAACTCTGAATTTTCGAAAATTTCAAAAGTTTGATTTTTTTTCGGGGTCTTCCTTCAACAACAAAATTAAAGATAGAAATTTTTTTCTTCAAATAAAGTTTATTGTCCATAATTTGTTCTTTCTTTAAGGTCATGTACATTTTTTTTTTGAAAAATAAATAGTTTTCGTCCAATTTTGCGTACAATTTGTGCAATTTTAATATGTTACAAAAAACATATTTTCTCAAAAACTCCAATTTTTTTTCTTCAAACTTTCCGAAATGATAGTGCTAATTGCACCCTTTAATATGACGTAACGATAATGAAAGTTCATTTCGATGTACTTTTTGTTTTTTCATAAATTACACAAATGTATTTTTTTAAATATCTCTCACGCCGGCAATGTGCACATTTACAGCAATTTGTTAACATTATTGTATTTGTGAGGTGAAGTGCTTCAAACGACTTCAAATGATATTTTTCTATAACTCAAAACTTTTCTGTGAAGAAGTGCTTCAAATTCGATTCGCTAAAGCGTTATTTTCTTAAATACGGCATCAGATTTTTCAAAGAAATTTGCCATTTAGGACACGATTTACTGTTATTAAGTATTAAAGATTGTATTTTCGTGCAGTAAAACTATCTCAAACGTGCAGTAAAAACACGAAAACGTGCATTATCATGCAATTCAAGGATCAAAATTTTGCAAAACGGTGTTATGTAGCCTAAAAACTCATGTTAATGTACTTATCAATATATTCTACATTTGGAAAATAATTTTTCAGGTGGCCGTACCATAGCATCAGTATGTACCTCTTGAAAGACGAAAAATCAACCTTAAACAAAACTTATAGCCAATTGGAATTTTTACGAAGTGGTTATAACGATATCTCGCATTGAGAAAGAACATTGAAAAAGAACAGAAATCTAGAAGAAAAAAATAACTGAACCCGAATCATTGATGACGCGGGTCGAAATCCCAGGCAAGAATGCTACACGCGCGTTGGTGCTATGCGAAGCGGCCACGGCGTGCGACGGGGCGCGCGAGCGAGGGTGCAGCACGGCGCGGCGCCGCTCGCACACCTGCTTAGCGCGGACCCGTTATTAGCCGGGAATTATCGAGTATAAACATGACACTGGCAAGACGTGCGGCCCGCCCCCCGGGCGGTGGGAACCTCCGGGTCCGAGCTCCCCCGCGCCCCGCCCCATCCCGCACGCCGCCGTGCCCCCCCCTCCTCCTTCACCACCAACAAACCGCCGCCGCTGCGCCACCTCACGGCCCCCTCTGCGCTGCGGATCGCGAGAATTGGTGAACAATTTGATTAGCGGGGCTCTCGCGAAAATTCTAGCGTGTTCGTGGAGGGTCATTCATTTAAGTTCGATGAACTGAACGAAACTATAAGAGATTCTCACGAATAAATAATGTATATCAATAATCGACAATACGTACAGGACATAAGATCATTATTTTAGAGAACATGGATATCTAGAACGCTATTATGGTTATTTCAGTAAGTTAGATTTGGTATATTAATTCATATTTCTTTGTTCGTTTCTTACATTCCAGCTTTTATTAAACGTTTACAAATTAATCTTTTAGAAACTAAAACCATTTTTAAATTACGTCTTAATTGAGTTAAATGTGAAAACGATGATTCCACTTTTCTTAATAAAATGTGGAAATGAAAAGTAATGTATGAATAAACCGAGGAATTATGATGAATATAAAAATAAAAATAATTATATTATTATACTATCCATTTTTTTTGCTTGCGGTATCAACAAAGCTAATTGGCAAAATATGTATCCCATACTAATTAGATGTCCTTGTTGCTTGTAATCCATTGTTGTAACGCCGCACTGATAACAGAAGGCGATAATGATCTTGATACATTTATATAAAAGGCGACAATGACGGCTGCCTTTCGTTCACGTTAATATAAACTAATAATTTTATTTTTATGGCTAAAATACACACCGTTCATCGTTGATATAGAACGTGAATACACTGAATTCAGTGACAGAAAGTTCATCATTTATATAGAACGTGAATACACTGAATTCAGTGACAGAAAGTTGTTTTTGTTTCAAGTATATGAACTTAAAAAATTATATGTATTTTTCACGCTTGTTTTTTTTAGAATGTTTTTAATGGTAGTAGAAGTGCAAGACTGAAATTGTCGTATTATAATATTACATAGCAATTACCAATATCGCGAGAAAAAGCGTGCTGTTGCAGCACTAGTTCTTTGTAGAACTTGTGGGAAATGCCTGCAAATATTTCACTGAGGCAATTGTTGAGAAGAACGTATTCTAGTTATACTGCGATTTATTGTATATACAGCTGCCTCTGACAGGTCATCAACTGTTACGGTGTCACCCAATCGGGAGCTTTCACGTCACTTCTGTGACGTCACTATGGTGACGTTTAACCTTCCGATTGGATGACACCGTAACAGATGATTTACGTCAGAAGTGGCTCTAAATAAATGCAAGTATAGATTGTCAGTTGTTTTGTGACTTTACTCACGATTTACATATTATTTTATAGGAATCTGTGCCGCAGAATTTATGGCCTACGTTCTTTAGACTTACGAACATCTTAATAGACTTGAGAATGTTCTGACCTTCTGAGTCTTCTTTCAAAGTTCTTTTATTTTATTCAAGGTGTGTTCTTTGGCAATGATCAATGTATTTTGAACACTTTTTTACCAGAATGTTTTCATTGGAGCCAGTTTCAGTTAGATGCCTAGTTTGATTCTTTCGATGATATAACATTATAATTTTGAGACGTGGGTGAGTAATTTCCGCGTAGTTGACAGCACAAGAGCTTTTGACACTTGATATTCTTGGGACACCCTTGAACGTCTTTGAGTCATACATACTTTGCTGTGTTTAAGAAAGTTCAACAGAGATTTGTATTTACCGCACCCTTAATTTGCAGTGAATTTCAGTTGGTAGTATCACTCTTTCGTAATTTTCTGTAAATTGGTAGCAATGTGGATTTTTTTTGTAGTAAGTGCACAATAGAAGGGAATCGTTCAGAAGTTTAATCAAAAATAAATAATGCATCGTCACCTCGATAAGTTCGCGACATCTATTTTAAGAAAATGTCTACTACACAGCGGTACTATTGCGAAATCGTGTTTGAATTTTAAACGACTGAACAAGATGTGCGTTTGGGAAAATGTGCTTCATATCACACCCGATTTTAGAATTCTCTTTGAGAAACATCACATTAATGATGTGACCCCCTTCCCTGAATATTTTGTGAATAGGAACAACATTTATTGTATTCGTTATGGGAACGTGTCATTATGTAAATGATAAATACTATGAGTTGTACAATGTAGTATTTCTTTAAAATAAAGAATAGCGATACCTGACAGATAAAGCAATTTACATCTCGTACGTGAAAGATAATACCGGAACCAATAATTTTGCCTCGGTGATAACTTTCCCACCTACGTTGCCAAATAGAAACACAAAAAACCATAAGCCAATTCTTGAGCTGCAAGGTAAGTTGCATTTTTTCTCGTGATGAAGCCAACAGTGTGAAAACCGTAAGGAATAAACAAAATAACACGCGTTAAATGAGCGCGTGCATCGCCGCCTACCTCTGCGCCAAGGTTCACGAAGTTTCTCCGGGGAAGCGGTGCGAGGGGGCCGGAGCGGATGCGCCACTGTCATCGTGCGGCGGCGGAGCCAGATGGCGCGGCGCCAGTTCCGCGAGGCGCCGACACGCGCCTGCCCGCCCCCACGGCCGCCCCCGCTCCCCTCCGCTCGCCCCCACGCCTCCTGCTCCTGCTTCTGCCCCCCACCGCCACCGCTTCTCCACGCCCCCCATCGTTCACCCAGTTTTCCCCTACCATCGCCAGGCTCAGGCCCGCTCTTCCCCGCCCCCCCCCCCGCTCACTTTTCCACACTTCATTTCCGCTTCACACTCTCACTGCCTTGGAGATATTCTTTTGCACATCAGCTCTTATTTTCACTGTTCATGCTGTGTGCCTGCTTGGTCGTCTGGGTGCCATACAGGATATACAGCCTGTCATTTCAATAATATTCCTTTTACCATTTTTTTAACTCTCCGATCCTTTTATTGTGGATAGATTTTTCACGTTGCTTCTTCTCTTTCTTTGCTAATTTATTGGTGTCTTCGCGGAAAACGGGAGGATTTAGTGCTTTTTTTTTTTTAAAACTAACAAAAATAAAAAAACGAAATTCAGTGTTGCGAGGAAAACAAAGAAGAGTATGCTACAAAAGTACTCAAGTATATTTAAAAACATTAACACCAAATTGTTATGTTAACATCGCCCTTGGTATTTTAAAATTGACATTTTTTCCATTGTTTATGTCCAGCTTTCATATTTCTTTCACGTTCCAATTAATTTACGTTAGTTTTGTATTTCAGAAAGTGATTGATTTTTATTTCAGAGACACATCGATGTGTTTCCTACTAGTGTATTCACTTCTAGGGGTTCGGATTTAATGAATTTCATTTTTATTCCTTTTCAACCGTTTTGAAAATGCCTTTTAGTATTAGACATTCTTTTACTATGGCATTTTCAGCATAATTCGTATATTCGATTAATAAGTCATATATACATTTTCCGTCTTTTAAAGTGTTTTCGGCGGATTTCATCGGTTTAAATGTCAATTGTTGTTGGCAACTTGCTTCAAATAATATTTACGTGATGCAACAAATGTTTCCATCATGAATTACTGAGCTAGCCATTTAGATTCATCGCTCAGAAATTGTAATGTCCAACCGTTGGAGTACACCCTGTCAGCGCCTAAATGTTCGGTCCGGCCTATTTCAACGGATAATACATACGGTTTTTTTCAAAGAATAATCCAAACCCAAAAGTTTTGCGAGCTGGGTTCGTATGAACAAAGGAAGAGCGTCGATTACATCTTGTGAATATCCAACAGCTTGAGTTTGTTCATCTGAAGTGGTTTTGAATCAATTGTTTCTTTGTTTTAGGGCACTTTTTAAGCATTTTATTGATCATTTTTGGCATGTTTTAGGTCTTGCAAATACGCCCCTATTCATTACACACGACTGGACTTTCATAGCACGTTTTTTATCACTCTCGTGTGACACATTAGATTTGATCAGAACTGGATACTCCCCGAAGATCACATGCTTACGTAGTATATTGCCTGTATTGTTACAACTCTTTAGGATAAATGATATGTTATAGCATATATTTTTTAGCAGATATTTACGAAGTTCATTTATCGCTAATATTGAGACGTTTTCCGTTCGTCCAAAATTGCTTGCCAACTGATCGATATTTTAGAACAAATCCTTTTATAAATCGAATAGTTTTTTTTACAAACCTTACCGGTTAGAGAAAATCTATATCAACAAAATTCTTGCGAACGAAAAATGAGGCACGGAACTGTCAGCCGAGTGTATGTGAAGACACGCCCTAGACCTTGAACTAGTCTCGTGCGAGCGTTCGGACGGAGCTGCGGAGAGGGGTGCCTGGGACCGCGCTGGCGGCTTGAACAGGAGGCGGGGCAAGGAGCAGCAGCTGGCGCGGGGCGGGGCGCCGGTTCGTTAGCGCCCTTGCCCCCCCCCCGGCGACGCGCACTTCGGCCTCCGTGGGCCGGCTGCTCTGCAAAGCGGCGGAGCTGCGGGCGCGGCGCGCGTCTCATTCCAGACCTTCTCAACGCACTTCGCACGCACCTGGATTACCCGATAATGTTATTTCCAGAAAAAAAAAAGTAAAATATTTTGGGTATACTGACCGTTCAATCGGCATACATGCAGCGCGGAATGAAAATCTAAGTAAAACGCGGCGTCAGTTGGAGGAATTTAACAGTCCGCGTCCGTTAGGAAAAATTGACCAAATGAGTATAAACATTGCCGTATGAAATAATCCTAATCAAATAAATGACTTTCTGTTTTTGTGGCCAACTCTAGGTGACTCAGATGTACTGATGTACTGCAGTGCCTATGACTGGGAGCTTTAGGGGTCGAGTCCCGACATTGGCAGGATAAATGATCAACATAATATTTTTTTTCCATAATTCAAGATTTTTTTTTAAGTAAATAGTTGTAATTGAAGTTGGTTAAATTGAACGTTTCGATGGTAAACGAAATTTTTTGTTGCAAATACTCTCGCAAATCTGATATATCTTTTCGTCACTCATGTGAGGTGTCCGCCGCATCCCCCCCCCCCCCCGGAGGTTTGGGGAACAACGCAGAGGCAACTTTACAACCGCGCATTTTGACTAGTGACGGTAATAATGAAGCCCGGCTAAAAACTGATTTCGGTAATCTTTCGAAATCTTAATTCTAAAGGAAACGAAAGTCATATGAATTATCTGAAGTATACGATTAAAGGAAATATAAAAATCAACAATGTAAACAATATATTGTTTTATAACCAATTTTTACGTATGTCTGAGTGAAGTGGGAACAAAGCACTCGTTTCTTTTCCTCCCGCCGCGTGGGCGAGGCTCCCCCCCCCGCTGCCCGTTGTGCTGCCGTTCCATCGCTCGAGGGCGTTTGATGGCGTAATTGAGCATGGGGCGGCGGCGGCGGCGTAGCTGTGAGCAGCGGCGCTGAGGCGGATGGCTGCGTGAGGGGCAGCGTCGTTGGTGGGTCTAAATTGCGTCTCAAGGGCTTGGGCGGGGGGCCCGCCCCGCCCCGCCGCCCGCCTCCCCTGTTCGCCACCAACGGCACGGCGCGCCGCTCCCTCCAACGCTTCGTCAGCTGACGCGCTTCGAACTTGACTCCCCGCGGGCGTCAGCGGGTCGCGGCCTGCGCCGCCGCTGGAGGGCGCTAAGCGCCTTAGATAAGCGGCGCAAGGGAATCGGGACGAAGGGTCAAATGCAAGTGACCTTCCATTCGAGGCTTAATAGTTTTTGAACAATTGAGCCTCTAGTAGGGTCTGGGCCGAGGGGGTTGCCCTAGGAGTGTAACGTATAATAAATTTATTAAATTAGGGGGTAGCTCGGTCAAAATGTTTCAATTTTAATGCTGACCACGACTTTGTTTTAGTTTTAACAATGCAACTATTTATGGAAATTGATTATATTATGACTATTTTATTATTATTATTATTATTAATTATTATTATTATTATTTATATTTTAGATTCAGATGATTTAGGCAAAAAAAAAAAGTAAAATTGTATGTGACCTATAGGGGAGAAGATCATTCCTGCGCACGTTTTCTTGACTCCAGAATCCGCTTCCCATCATTTGAAAGATGAAGTAAAATTGAAGTAGCGAAAGATTAGCAATATTTGAAAAAATATGATTATACATATTTGTTTTGATATCAATTGTTTACTGCATAATTACAATTATAAAGATCATGCTTGATTCACCTATGATTTCATATTTATGACGTGAATGTTTCTTTGAGTTATTGAATCGCATGATTCTCATCACGATACGGTATTTGTCACTGCTGACTTTCTTAATACAATCACTTTTCAATATGTGATTATTCAGTAATTATAAAGAAAATTGACGATCAGCTGTTACTGTGTTGATTTAATTTTTTTATGTATAAATTAAACAGTACGAGAAAATTACATGTTTTTACAAAAAAAACAAACTTTTTTTAAGTCAGCAGGAAGAAAACACTGATTCTGTAAGATAATTTTCTTCCAATCCAGATCTAATTTCAGAATTTCTGTAATGGCTTTAGGTGTCAGGTCATGACATTTTTACCTCCGTGTGAATTAATAATCTGGCAAAATGACACGGCTCCAAACTGATCAAATATGCTGTAAAGCACCGGAGGCGGGACTCGAATCGCGGCAATCTTTCGGTCCGAGAATCGCTCTGCAGCTATTACCTTCACGATCTCGGCACCCGGACCGGCTTTCATCTTTTAATGTTCCTATCAATTTAAATGTGAACACGTTTCCGTTATTAAGATAAGTACCAGTATTTAATGGCTTGTAGGGCTGATAATGTAATTGCTTTGAGAGCTACGCATGTAATAGCAAATTTAGCGCCTGTTAATATACAATTGTGATATAATATATTTTGGTTTTAATGATAGTAATATCATTATTTTTAATTGAATTAAAAGGGCGTTTACACGGAGAGAGTTTTCTCTCACCTAACTTTCGGAACTGTTAGGAGTGGTAATGTGGTCGGATCGCAGGATTGCGGAAATAGTTTTGCCTAATGTAAAGTTTGAAAATGGTTGTAGTTGACAATTTGTTTTAGAAACTTTTAGTGAAGTTGAGTATAAACTATTTGAAAGAATCAGTTTTAAGTTCTCTTCAAATTTGTTTATATTGATATAAACGAAGAAGATGTACAATCTCCTCTAGTTCTCTTCAAGTCGCTGGTTCAGTTTCTTTGTAGCTATCAGACCTGACGTTTCCTAGAAAGTATTTCTTTATTTGTAGTCCCATCGACATCTAAGGTCATTAGCGTCTCAAACTGGTACTTTGATTTACAATAGTTACAGTTTATAGAAAGTTTGTTACAACGTTTTTGAAGATTGCCATGCTGCCGTCTTGCGTATTTAATTCCTATC